CACAAAGAATATCAAAGAAGTTTATGGAAATGTTTTAGATGTCCATAAGTGTCAACGATGGGTCAGCAAATTTTGGTCAGGTGACTTTAGCCTTAAAACTGTGATGGTAGGGGCCAACATGTTGGAATTGATATTAATGCTCTGAAGATGCTTGTTGAGTCTAACCCAAGGCAACATACTCATGAAATGGCCTTGTAATTGCATTTCTCTCATGAAACAATATGTAAACATTTAAGAAATATGGGAAAACTCAATAAAGAAGGTGTTTGGGTGCCTCACAAACTCTAATATGATAATCGTTTCCAATATGTGACCATTGCTTCGTTTCTTCTGGCACGTAATGTGCATGAACTATTTTTGGACAGAATTGTCACTGGTGATGAAAAATGGATTCTCTATGCAAACATTAAATGCCAAAAACAATGGCTCAATCCTAGACAAAAACCACTTCTGACCCCAAAACCTGGACTCCATCCACAGAAAGTGATACATTGCATTTGTTGGGACATCAAAGGAGTAATTCTTTTTGAATTCCTCAATTCACAGTGAACCGTCAATGCAGAGATCTATAGTCAGCAACTGGAACATTTAAAGCAAGCCCTTCATCAGAAATACCCTTCACTCGTCAATTGGAAAGGTGTTCTTCTCCATGACAATGTACATCCACATGTGACACATTTGATGCAATACAAGATTATGGAGTTGGGTTGGGAAGTTCTCCCCCACCAACCATATTCTACATATATGGCACCATCAGATACCATATTTTTTGTTCGCTGCAACACCATCTTAATGGGAAGACTTATGCAAATGTGATTTCTTTAATCAGGGCATTAACAATCTGATTGCAATATGGAAAAGCATCATTGATAAGAGTGGAGACTATTTCATTTAATAAATGTTTTGTTTTGATATATAAGTTGTTCAGTTTTTTCATCTAAAAAAAGCGACATTAAGTTCTTGACCTAATATTTAATCTTTTGAATTCAAGAGTTATGTCTTAAATGAAGACATAAAAATGACTTCAAGAGTCTTAAGCTTCTATGAACTGTAAAAGTGATGTTAATGATAATATTGAATGTTTAGATTGTTCAAATAGGAATATTTTTGGCAATAAAAATAAAAACCTTTTAGTGTGATATTTACAATGTATAATATTTTCAAAAAAAGATTATTACCTTAGGTTTATAGTATATAAACACTAATAATCATTATATACACAAAGTACCTATGGAATATTTAGTAGTGCTTTCAATATGTTGTTGACCACATGTTTAACATGTGTAATACTGATATTATACATTTGCCCAAAAGAAGTTTTATTCTGAAATTTTGTTCTGTAACATGGAATCTTTACTCTGTTACCATTAAATTATCTGCAAAGTTTTTCAAACAGTATTCAGGTGTGATTATAATCCTTTTATGTATCATTAGTTTGTTGGGAATGATAGGTATATGTACACTGAGTGATCACAAGTAAATA